ACAGTGGTACTGCCCTGCATCACCTGAACCCACCACAGAAAGATGAAGGGGAAAGCTTCTGCTACTCCAGTTCTTAGAGAAGCCCCATGTTTCCAAGTGTCCTCCTGCCAGGCGGCTCCAGTAGGCTTTTACTCTGTTGATCCCAGAGGCTCTGGGCAGGTAGCTCAGAGTGCATGGTAGGTCAGTTGCAGAGCCAGCCGCAGCATAGACTATAGGGTTGACTGGGCCCTGAAAACCTGAGTGAGAGAGCACAATGTGACATGGCAAATAGAAAGAGCCTTGCAGGAAGATGAGACAGAAAGGATTTTAGCCAGGGAGGCAGGGTCAGGGTGGGAGTTGGATAGTTGGAGCTGCTGCAGCTAGTCAGTGGCCACACCCAAGAGAGCCACGGGGGGATGCTGGAGTGGTAATACAGACACTGAACTCACCTAGAATTTGCAAGTTGTGTGTAACAGAAATGATCTCATTATCAGAGTATCTGAGCTGGCAGTGCCAGGGACCTGAGTCACTCATGGATGGACGGAGGATGGACAGAGTCCCATGGAAGGAGCAGAGATTGCCAGAGCTGGAGACCAGTTGCCCATTGTGGAACCAGCGTGTCTCCACAAGGCTGGCCCGGTGACTAGAGTTACAGCTCAGTAACAGGGGCTCGTTTTCTACCACAAAGCCAGGAGGATTGAGGGTTACTGCAACAAAAAGAAAGCGGAGGGAGAGAGCTAACATTACAGTCTGACCACCAAAACATCTCTCTGCACATCTACTGTCCTAGTTTTGCCCACCAAACAGCCCTCTCCAGAGTTCTGACAGAAGGCAAGAGGAAGCTGTGTGCATTCAGGGATCTGCTCCAGCTTGTTATGCCAAGCACAGTATCCCCAGCCCATCCGTACAAGCTCCCCCGCAGCAAACTCAAGATTTTCCATGGTCTCTGATGGGATCCATCTTCTCCTACCTGTTACCACACCCAGCTCCACCTGGCAGTTCTGGACCTTGTTGCTGTAAGACACCTGTGCCTCGTACAGTCCTGCATCCTCAATCCTGACAGGGTCGATTTGCAGGGAGAAATTGCCATTGCGTAAGGCATGGTCCTGGACTGACACTCGGGGCCTCATGGGCAGGGCCATCTTTCGGAGTCCTGTGTACTCCACCTCCAACACCATATGTGGCTCCTGGTGGGCACTAGAAGTGAAATAGTTGTGTGGGTATGTGCCAGAAGCAAACAAGACATTAAGGGTGAGGCCAGAACTTTAGGGATCAGAAAAGAGGTAATGTGGGAAAGCAGGAAAGAGTTTCCAAGTGTCTCCCACCTGCTTTGCAGTTCCCTCAAAAACTCAGGACCATCTGTGCTGTTACGTACCTGCCTCCATGCCGCTTCCACAGCACAGATGTCTTGTCAGATAGCTGTTTCCAGCTGTTCTTCAGCTTTTTAGGACTCAGGTAGCAAGGCAGCACTGCTGAATTCCCATCTCTGGCCCACACTTTCTGCACTCTCTTTTCTTCCTCTGCTCTTCCTGAGAGGATCTTGCCAGCTATAACAAGATAGAGGATTCAGCAAAGGATGACTAGCAAGTAGAAGTCTCTCCCCAGTTACAGTGGGGACAGAAAGGGATGAATAAGACAGATATGTCAAGGACAAAGTAACACCCAGACACAGTTTATTGAAGTATCCTGCCCTCCCTTATATGTTCAATCCCTCTTACCATTGAAAACCAGCAGAGTGAAGGCAACAAACAGCAACATGTACACCAGTCTCATGGTGACATCCAGGAGCGATGAGGGGCAGTGTCTTCACACTCCGTTCAGTGCTCGATCAAATCCAAAGCCTTAAAATATGAGCGAAAATGAGACATGGACAAACAAGATGTTAGTGTGGGTGTATGAACTAAGTGGGGCTTACTGGGCTTGCTTGCTCTTGCGCTCTCTTTCTTTCTGTTCAAAGAATTTCCCTAGATGCCCTTATATTGTAGGTGGGCAGCTAATTTCCTCGCATCACGAAGAAGATACGTCATGACCAAGAAACCAATGTAAGTCTGAGGCACGTGAAGATAAACCTGAACACAGTAAGAGAGAGAAGGAGGGAGACACTGTTCTAAGCATCTTTTAGTGGAAACTCTTTGGGTCGCTGTTGTTTTTCTTACAAGTTTCGCTTCTACATAGACAGTGGAAAAAGTGTTAAAGACAGTTCCCAGCAAGTGCCCTTCATGTTTTTCTTTCATCTCTTACCTTTTTTGGTTTGATTTTTCCGCCTCTCACAGTGTTGCTCAATTAATTGTTTCAGGGCTTTTCAGACTGTCTTTGTCTTTTTTTTGTTTTTTTTTTTTGCTGTTGTTTATTTTGTTTTGTTTTTCCTTAATTCCTCAAATGTGGCTAAGTTCTTGGCTTTTTCTTATTGGTCAATTCATAGAGAGCACGGGTATGAAAAAAGTAATAGTAACAAGTCAGGAAAACAACAAAAAGATTCTATGGTTAGCTCCAAGCAGAGTACATATGACCCATCAACCTAGAATCTAGGAGCAACCTGAGACAGACCTCAATTGATTTTGAGGAATGTAGCAGGGGAAAGAGGAGTACCCAGAAAAAAAATTGCCAGCACTGAGAAGTGAGAACTGACTGTTGTTATTTTGTGAGGGATGTGAGGAAGCAATCATCCTTTTTTGTCATGCTGGGGAAATGCCTCCGAGCTCTTGTGCTAAGAGGGCTTGTCCTAACTACAGTGTACCTGCTCAGTTTTGCACAGGGTAATACATTTCCATTCCTGTGCTTCTTGGGGCCCCTTTTCCTCAGAGAAACCCCACTGTTGTGGCTCCCTCTTTCCAGCACCCACTGGCTTTGACTCTTTCAAACTTAATCAGCCCTTTGTGACTAGTGTCAAACATTTGAGCCCCTCACCTGCACATCCTCCAAGAGCTGGGCTGGGGCTTTTCTTTGAGGTGAGGGAAGGGAGGTGACTCAGCTGTGGCAGCTTCTCTATTGCAGGATTGTTGCTTGCTCTCCAATTTTCCTTAGCTGAGCGATGAATGTGGAGAATAAAAGAAAGCAAATGGTACAACTCACTTCAGCAGTTCCCTACTGCATTGATCTCTCTTGTCTCTTTTTATTACATATAACTCTTCAAATTTTAATGAGTAGCCTCTGTGTATGGGAACCTGGTGCAACTTACTGTGCTGTGATGTTCTGGGAGGAAGGCCAGAGGTCTTGCTAGTAATGGTCCTTCATGCCTTCTGTTTTACACAACTCATGAAGTTGCATGAGAGAAAAAGGTAAGAAAAAAAGATGGAGGAGAACTTGTGACAATTGGCAGGAGGTATTTTTTCCTCCTGTTCAAGAAAAACAATTTGTGGTGCCCAGTCCAAGCCGAAAGTGTCAATTTCTCTTTCCCCCAAGTCAGCAATTCAAGAATGGTGTGAGTGTGTGGGTGAAGATGAGAAAGAGAAGGGAGACTAAACCAAAGTGGAGAGGCGCGTAGGACTCCACAGCCAGGTACCATCTGTTCCACCTCTTCCCCTGACCCTGCCCTATGAAGGCACAAAGTTCTTTCGTCTCCTCCTTTAACTCACCCCACTTTTCACTCTCGTCTCTTAGACTCAGTCTCCCAGCATTTTTTCCATCTAGTTCCTGGAATCACTCCAAACTGAATCCATGTTCTCACTCTAGGAAATGCTTCTTTCTTGTATGAATCAGCAAAGGATAAAGATATATTCTTATCCAGCTGCTGCTTCCCCAAAAAGGCACTGTCACGAGGAACTGGCGGAGAGCATAAGAAAGCAGCAAAAGCTGTCTAGCACGGGGGGATGTTTTGGGCTGAGGGGTTATTACGCTGAGTGAGCATGTTGTGAAATGAAGGTTCTGGAGACACAGTTTTACTCAGCACCAGGCTATCTTTAGCAAAGACACCTGTGACGTTTCTCCCTAACGACCCATTTTAAATGCTGACTCCACTGAATGGCATTTTCGTCATCTCTCAGAACAGGACCCTGTCACAGTAATAACAGTGACAGGAATAAGATCAGCACAGGGGCACCTTCTCAAGATGGTATGCATGGGCTCCTTTGGGGCTTGAACAGCAAAGGGGTTGATAGGAAAGAGTATGGGACTATGGCAGACATATGGGGAATGGAGGGCAGGCTAGGACTGGAATAGGCCAGAGATGGAGCACTGAAGCCCAGATTATTAAATACTCCTCTGTGTTAGGCATTAACTAGCTTCTGCCAGGTTCCAGGTTTGTCCTCAGCATTTGCTTTATGGACAACCTTAATACATTGTTTGTTGTTTTTCTTTGCATGTTGTATTGGCGCAAAATCCACTTATCAAGAAAAAAAAAAAAAAAAAAAAAAAAAAACTGTTTT